TCAACCCGTTAGGATAGGACAAAGAACATTAGTGCGAATTTAGAGTGAGTTCCTTCTTGTTTATTCTTTATCAGCTTTTTACTCTTCTGTACACTATATTGCCTTGCCATTAATATTATTTCACCACTCGTTGTCTTACCTTATCTGTAACTAATATAAATCTACACTTTGGTAATCTACTTTGGTAATCAACTTTCCTACATTATACCTTTCTGAATGCCTATACTCTGATTAAAAACTTATACTTCCCATTATAGTCAAATAAAGCATTGTATCGAAGCCTTACCCATAGTCCATAATTTGTAACTGTCTGATAAGCTTGTAACATGGTACTTATAGAAATAGTGTTTTCCAACAGGATGTGAAACACAGAGCATTGTGTGAGGCATGATATGTATCCAAAAAATAAGCGTCAATGAGCCTAACATCACAAAATGAGGGAGGGTGGAGTTACTGACCAGCGAGTATTGATGGTGAGGGCGATGACTTCAATCCACCAGTGTTTGTGGCGCAGAACATTTTGTTTGTATCAGGCTCTTTATGGATGAGAACAAGTCAATAGATCTGTGATATTGAGGTTGTTCTCCTACACTCACCATTCAGTCTCATGTTTCTAATTTTTTTATGCTGGATTAACTATTCTACTAAGACAACCTATAACATGCCAACTCGGACTTTTACATGAAAAATGTGTGGCAAGCATCAGATGTTGAAAAACAAAGCAGACTGTAAAGGATATGGTTGTTATTTCACTTAACACTCTACTCTCTATATGCACTCTCTGTTCTTCCTCATTCCAACCTTGACTTCCCTTCCTTCATTCGAACCTACTCCACCTTGATAAATATCACAACTCATTGTTCTTTATTACTGCATTCTGTCCTCTGGAGCCCCTGATCACATTTCACTCTAGCGGCATGAGCGAGTATCAATTTAATCTAATAATGTATCGTACCTCCGTCTGTTCCACTAATAAATGTTAAGCATTGGTTATCGTTCATATCCAAATGCCTTGCTGCTCCTCCGTTTCTCTTTTTTTTCTTCAGAATCTTGCTCTGAGGGTGAAGCTCTGTAACTTTTGACATTTGAAACAAGCTCGATGAACGCGCTTTCCGAAGGTCATAGTTCGAACCAGGCACTCCACAAGTCTACTTTATAACAACTATAAACTTAAAAAGCTGCATTACATAAATACTTAGCACTACCGAAACCCTAATACACTTTTGTCGAGATTAGATCTGGCATGTAATATGGACGCCATGACCCTTTGGAATCTATTCTTATGAAAACACATTATATCTGAACGAACCAACTGCTATCAACTTTTATAGATTATAATTACTAAACAACCCTGCTTGGGATGCATACTGTGAACCAGTATATATTGTAAATTGTAGATCATGCCTGTAAAAATGGCGCGTACCTGCTCTTGCAGAAATATATTATTATTATTATTTACCTATCCACTCTTGTTGCAGGTATTCGCATTGATATTTTTCAATATATAATATTCTGGCAACACTTCAATATGATGGATAACGATAAGAACAGCATTATTATAATAAACTCAGAGGTACAGGCAATCAGTTTCAACTGATTCCCTTTATCCCCCACGATCCAGAAGTTTGCTTCGCGGCACTGGAATCTCAATTCGAGATCCACCGCATAACAAACCAACAGTAAAAGTATGCCTACTCTCTGGAAACGCTTCCTGTCACGCTGCACGTCACCCTCTGAGTGATGATAAACCGAGCCATCACCTCGCGTGTCCGCAACCTCTTGCAGGACTTAGGACAGCAGATTCCGAAATTGTTAAAGAGTTATGGCTCGAATCTCCACAAGCGCATATGCAAACAGGGATTATGGCTTTGCTCAAGAACACCCACTTACCCAGGCAAATCAGATTTTTGACAATGAATAGCATCCGAGACAACTATGTAGTTGCTTAAACATCACGTTCGAAAATCAATCGAGGCTAGTCGACCTACGGCTCATGGTGGTAGAGATAGATGCATTCATATCCGTCTCAATTTTTGAGACCGATCCAATATGCCACAATCCTACATCTCCAAAGCCAGTTCACGCTCCCGTAAAGCCGTAACTACTGGCCCCAAGAGGACATCTTCCAAGCCACGCCAAAAGGCGGTTGCGGAAGTGAGTTCTGGTAGGTGCTGGTTTCACCGTGCCTTCGGGTCTGGTCCCCGCCGTTTTTCGAGCCTTTTGCCAATACAAGGCGGTCATTCATTAAACGTTCACGATTATCGCACTAACGTCATGTACCTAGTGGATATAGGTGCAACAAGTTTCTGTCGTATCTATTTATAACAGTATGTCTCAAGCTACGATGCGAATGGCTGCGAATGGCTCAGTCATTACCTATGGTACACGACAGCTTACTATCAACCTGAGCTATCGACGACAGTATCTGCAGAAGTTCATCGATGCCGATGTTCCCACTGCCATACTTTGTATCGATTTCCTACAGCACCATGAATTGCTATTCGATTCACGTGGGCTGCAGCCAACCGATACATCGTCGAACAGTAAATTCATGGGCCTTAAAACTGAAGCACAGGTGTATTTCATTTGTGTGACGATATGTTGCATACTTTATTCTGTACAACCGTTCAGACTTATCAATAACATAACGAATGTGACTAGAATTCGACTCATTCGAAACATTTTTGTCACACTCATTGGGGATATCACTAGAGACAAATTCATTTTGAGGACCACTGACATTTGATATGGTATCAGAATTTGATTTTTCTGAAATATTTCCCTCAAATTCATTAAGAGTTTCATTAAAAAGATCAGAATCTACCAAAACTGAACCCGGTTTCTGATCATGATTCGACTCATTCAACGTCTTATTCTCAGAGTTGTAAGAAATTTCATCAGAAATATGTAAATCATTATGACAAACCATATCTGGTAGAATTACATGAGAAGTCTGAAAAGAGGTTGGTTGATTGGGGACTTTTGTCTCACAATAATTCTGGGTTTGATTCAACTCTGAAATACTGGGTGGCGTTAAACGGCTTCTAAAAGTCTTGGATAAAGACAAGTGATCAGTAAAAACATCCAACATAGTAGAATCTCAATCACAAGTATTAACATTAGTTTCGGTGAAATGAACTACGTATTACACTGCGATGACGTTGTAAATTAGGAAAATTCCTGATGTCCTGGTGAGTCATTTCATTGAATTTTTCTCCTTTACTGCATTCGAAATTTGTATACTTTACATGGTCCAGCAGTAATTGCTTGAAAGTTGCATAAGGGAGTGAAGACGGCTTGTCTGGAAGTGCCGAAGTCTTTATTAAGCTGTATGCTTCTTTTCCGATGAGCGTAAGAAAATGAGCCATGATATCAAAATACTCAAAAGCTTCAGAAGTTGAATGGATGTTCAACTGTTCTATCGTAGACTCCATTGCTACGTCAATGTGATAATTAGGAATATTTCAATTATGGTATAAACCAAGAATCTTAGAAATAACGCAATTTAATCAAGAAGTATTAGATGAACACGAATGAATGTATTGTATTTGGAGTTCGAAATCAAGCAGTCACCAAATACAAACGAATCATTGGTTCATATGCACACCACAAATTTACTTCCGGCCACAGGACTATAATACATGGAGAGTTAACTTGCTTGTATAGTAGCTTGGATTAAGGAATCGTTGTAAACCTAAGGCTCCTTTTGCAGAGGCGTCCAAGTTACGGGGTATGATATTGGGTAGAGTAAGTGGAGAGGATTGCCCATTGCAGAGTTTGATGGAGAATGATGGTGGGCGGCTCATGCTCCTCCATGACGGGTAACAGGAGTAAGTGACTAAATTATTAACCAAATGCTCAATTTATTTGAATCTATCAAGTACAAGCTTGTCATTGATACCAATGAACTTTTATAACTTGACTGATGTTCAGTACCACAATCTAAATTTTAATCAATTTAATATCTAGAGAAATGATCATTCATTGTTATTGGAAACATCTACTTCACGTGTCACAACTTTAAGCTAGAACATTTCAACATGAGTTACTAGAGAGCTCATTACTATTGGTCATTTAAATGAATTTAATGAAAAATAATTCAGTTTTTAAGTTGTACTTGTCATGCAGAATAGGACGGAAACAGATATCCAATGTGTTCTGACCTCTAATCGTACCTCAGACAGAATCAATCTGTTATGAATGCTACCTATGAAACTAATTTCTGTTTACAACAATTTGGATGATCAATAAATATATACTTCAGTTTCAATATATATGTTACAATCATTTTTGTGCATTCATTTATTCACTAAAATGAGACAAGATAAAAGACAATTGTAGATTTTTGCATAGTTTCTTTCAAATTTTTTTATCTTTTAAGAATAATACAAAAAAATAGAGAAGTGAATTTAAACAGAAATCAGAGATGATGACAAGATAACGATGAATATTGTATTTCTACCAGGTTTGAGGGGGGTAAACAAAGAGAAGAAATGAAAGAAATACTTAGAATGTTTAAAAAATACACGCAACATTGTACAAATAAGATATATACACACAAATTTCAGTTCAACAGGTTTACTCAACATATCAGTTTTAGTGTTGATAATAATTTCTTCTTCATTGTAATATAGATAAATAAGCTTACAATAAAGAAGTAATCAAAAACAAGAATGAAAAAAGTCATTTGTCTATCAGATCATCTAGATAGGATATAAGCGAATGTGTGTGTGAGTATGTTGTAAATGGCATGATCTTCCATAGAAAAAAACTCAGAACTAGCATATTAGGAAATTTTGATATCCTCACTTATTGCACACAAAATAATTTATGATATGATACTGGTATTTAGAATGAATGAATAATTAACAAAACTAATCCATTACAACAATTCTATTAACAAAAGGTTAAAGTATAGAAATACAACACGAAGAATACAATAACAACGAGAACTATAAAAATCGAAAGCGAAAACTTCAAAAAATGAATGAACGAAAAGGAACTAATGAAAAAGAAATACTACAATATTACTATAATTAGTAATATTGTTAAAAGTGTATAAGAATATGAAATGTTTAGTTCATTATTTTATATGATTTCCCATTTTACGTACATTTTTTAACATATTGAATGTTTCATAAAATAATTGCCTATAAGCTGGTTTATAATCTAAATTGATTAAATCTTGATATTGTGAACGTATATGTGGATTATAAATCCGATCTAAACAACTAACAAAATTGATATCATCTAATAAATCATTAATTTGATCAGAAATTCTTGGTTTCAGTTTGACATTGGTTACATCTGTTTTTGTTTCTAATGAAGTATTTTTAGTGAATCCACTGACAAGAGAATTTTCATTTTCATTTGATTTATTATTATTATGATTACTAGTCGGTATCTGTTCATCACTGTGTTGTACTTGAGATGGTGTAGATGAACGACTGTTAGGCTGAAATATTGGAGAGAGAGAGAGAGAGTAAAAGAAGGTAGTTTGTCATTGACTATTGACTTTCTGAGTTACATTAAACTTTGACGATGGTTTTACTGAAGTGACATCAGTCGGAGAAATAAGCTGGAATAGTACGGCTACTTTCATATTTACTGTCCTTTACTCGAACAAATTTTAATAATTACAGTTTGAAATTAGTTTAACTTGTAATACTTGCTGATCACTGTTTATAAACAGAGTTAAATGTTGTACATCAATAAGACTCCAGATTCCGGACAGGCACATGTCACAACTTCGTTGGGTCGTCGGAATTATTTGTAACGAACCAAAAAAATTATAGAACATTTTGATACTGGTTATTTCAACAGTCGTGAGAAACTTAGGGATTCGAAAACGTTTGAAAAAAAATTAGCCATGATTACTACGAGATGCCCAACTAAATGATCTGTGCCCACTGGAATGGGTCAAACCAACATTCAGTGACCTCATGGACTGATACCATATCATGTTTGATCCTCCTTACTTTAATTTACGACAACCAACATCGCACGTTAAATTAATGGTTTAGTTTAATGAACAAATGTTTCAGTCAACTCAGCCGATAAAGGTTCACGGCATCATCAACTAATTTGCTATCTTACCTTAGTGCCACGCATCTAATATCAGCACTGATCATTCGATGATCAAAATATAGGCGAGAATTGCTTCACGACACCTTAGGTCAAATGACAGTAAGCTGAAAACAGCTTCTAATTGCATAGACTGGGTTTCATACCCTTAAAGTAAGAGGGAGTGAACTGCTGCCCCGTTTACTCATACTTTCATTAACAGTCTTCTAAATTTTGATGTTGGTTTGTTCTCTGGGCTGGATGGTTTGGTCGTGGAGCTTTCATCGTCCTTCTGAACGACATCATCAGCACAAACTTCGGGTAGAAGTGAAGTGTGTGAATTTCAGAAGGACGATGTAAGCTCCACGACCAAACCATCCAGCTCAGAGAACAAAGAAACATCAAAATCACCCACCTGAGGTACAAATCTTCTCCACCATCTCAAGTCTTCTAAATACATGAAGTAATGACATAAACTACGACTCAAGGTTTGAAAGCCATATGTTACAACTGGTAAGCTATCATTTTAGACTGGAAAATGGGTCATGTATTCAGAGGAAAAGAAATAAAACGAAATTTAGTAAAACACCCACTCCATTAACTTCAGATTCTGTAATGAGTATGGAATTTGATAATGTCACCGATTCCGATAATGGGTTAACATGAATTCCATTGGAAAATTCTTCACAATGATAATTGTTACTCATTGAAAAAATTGATGTATCTGTAATGTAAAATAAAACAAAATATTACACAACACTTATTTTCAAAAATCAGTTTGTATACAATAGTTTGGGCTAAATTATTCATTAAAGCAATATTATTGCATTGTATTTTGTTATGTAAGCAATAATTATTGGGTTCGAAAGCAATTTTAATGTAGTGTACTTCGTTTGGAAATCTTATTGACATTGGAAACCTAGAAAGTGACTATACTCCTTATAAAACATTCGATCAATGTACGTAACTAGAATATTTACAGTTTTAATTGTTGTGTTTAAGCATCCCCAGTCCGGTATAAGGTTCGTATGAGGCCTTAGAGATTAGTGGACCTGAATGAAACCATCAATTAATCTAAGTTAGACCATCATTGAGAACCTGCGAGTACTGAATGGGACTCCTCAGATATCCGTATCCACGACCATTGACATAAGAATCGGACCAGGAAACTTCGGTATCATGTGCGAATGCTTCGTCTCCAGACCACTAACCCAATGATTGCATTGTTTAACTTCAATAAATTCACGACAATCAGCGACCATCTTCCATTGTCTTCGTTGGGTTGCTTCACACCCGACACGATTTAGCTCTATTGGTCACAGCTCACCAGGACTCTGGAAATTTCCTCTCAAAGCTAGTCATCAGTGAGCATATGGTAACTGAATAAAACTACCTAAATACTAACATTTAATGATATTCGGTACGCTTTGTAAGACTATGACAACTGAGGTTTTACATGAGAACTGATAAATTAGGTTATTTATTCGTACTGACATATTGGTAGGATTTAAAACAGATGACTTTTTAATGCAACCTACAACAAATTGGATCTCTAGATTCGTATCTGTGCTCATGTCACACGACCTTCTAGTTGAAAAAATTATCTTTCACGTTTTTGTCGGATATTGCAAATCAAGGCGCTTATACATACATCAAGAGTTGCATTCAACTTAAGCGAAAATATTTTATAAAAAGGAACATACCGGTTGTCAAAAGATTTTCACACAAGTACTAATAAACATACTACATTCTAGTGTCCAATAATCGTGCTTCTAAATACTGATAATTTGTTTGGGCAACCATAACAAGTAGTAGCAACAAAAAAATCGATGTGAAACTATTATTCCGTGTATAATTGTGTGTTTTGCACACAATCCTTACAATTCATGTCTGGTGAAAACAATCGCAACATACGATAAGAATCACACATACACAACAAGTTGTACTTTTAAAACTGAACGAGGGTAAAGAAAACATGCTTGTGTACCTATTGTGTATCTATTGACATCATTTAAGCAAAAAAAAACAAATAGTTTAGGAAAAAGGCTACGAGTAGCAAATTTTAAAAAAGAGATATTTAACCCATTTAATAGATGGTGAGTTTCTTGATTAAGGTTTTATAAAGCATCAAAATTAATAGTTCAGGACTTTATGTAGCGTAGTTTAAAACCAGTTGCAGTAAAACAAATACCCCCAATCTTTATCTTTAAACTACTTCGGATCCTGAAAATTTTATAACTCTGTCCCCACCTTTACTTTAATTCCTAAATCGTTTATTTTGCCTCCTCTATTTAAATATTATAGTGGGCTAAAACGTGAAGACAGCTGCTGAAGTCTTTTTTGAATTGAAGTAGAAATCCGGAAACATTGTTTGAGTTGTTTTATGTTATATCTGGCACTGAATGATGTCCATTACCACACTAAAAAATTGTGGATGTATTAGGGGTGTTACGAACCTTCATATGAATTGGCTATGTTGGAACTTCTGACCATTTTGATCGACAGTAAGAATCTCAGATTTTCTCGAATTCAGAATATTGTTTCTGGATTAATCTACATTAATCCTGAGTTCTTCTACCGAGAGATAGTGTCAACTAATCCGGAGATCTCATAAATTTCACTAATCCTTTTGAGATGGTGGCTGATAAATCCCCGACTATGCTGATTTATATAAACACAAGTCATCTGTGGTAAATTAGTTGTCAGTCTTAACAAAAGCGAGTATACTATGTAGTTATTTACTTTGCAGTACTCGCCTATTTGAAACATATCTTTTGAAAGTATAGCGAATATAGGAGGATATTGGAAAAACTAGATATCAGTTATTGTCGAAGCACTGCTTATGTATGCTGAGACCACTGAATGAAAGAAATACATAAGTTAGGCTTAAAATACTGAATAAAGATAATTAGAGCAAGGAAAAAACGGTGTACTCTTATTAATTGAAGTGGTTCAGATACATGTTAAGCATCCACAATCTCAATGTTCAACACTGTTTGGAACGCAAGTGGATAAGAAAAACCAAACGTCGTAACAGGATTTTTTTGAATAGAGTTTTCAATCAAACTGGGACGCCTTTAATGCCTATTTCTATTGTCTTCGGAAGCGTCGTATTATTCTGTGACTTCTTTATTCTTTTATTTCACTTCACTCCTTCAATTTCGTTTCTTCCATTTAAGATACAATTATTGTTTCTTTTTCAGCTTCCTCAAAACGTAGTCATACGAATAGCAGGAAAATAAAAAGACACACACATATCAGGTCCCAATTGACTGCTACAACCCACGACGTCTGAATCAATTAAAATACAGAAAAATTCGCATATTATTTACAAACTACTAATGAGGGTGAAAAGACTAAGACTGTTCAGGAAGCTTTAATTAGAAAAAGTTAATGATAATGTATTGTATTTCACAGTTCTCTTTGCGAAACTAGATAAAGAAAAGTCTCATGTGACGTTGACTAGGTGAGTAGTCGAATCCCTGTGATAGTGTACCTTGTTTAAGATATCATAACTGACGTTTAGCAATGAGACTATACATTAGGTGTCTGGCTTATTAACAAGCATATGACATGACTAGACCCTGACAGCTTATCAGCCGTTCATATCTATCTATTCGTCTTTTAATTTAAAGTACGGCTATTTATAAAACTTCAGAGCAAAATCGTATATTACTACGCTACTGAATATCTGGTGTGCATTCCTAACAAAGAAATCGATAGGAATTATTTTTAAAAAATTTGGCAACGACATTTTCTGAAAATGATTGAAAATAAACTGAGGTATTGAGATAAGAATTAGCAAAAATAAAATGTTTACCATGATTATCTTTCCCATTTATTAAATTATCATTAATATCGGGATTTAAGGTATATTGTGAAGAATTATCATAATTTGCCAAATTACAAGATGAGTCAGTATGGTCATCACAAATAAACGACATTTCATTTAGACGAGGCCAACTAAATGTGCGATGCAACATTGAAGCTGTATTTAATGTATCATTAACATTATCATCATCATGATCAGTTAATAGTGTACATTTTTGTCCATCTCTCTTCTTTGAATTGATCATCAGCATCCAAGGCATTTTATGATATAAATTAAATGATGACAATTGTGTATACGAAGATTTTTCAGATGTCAATTGTAAAATAGAGGAGGATTTAGAATTTGTTCGTAATAATTTCTGTTGATTACCAGCACCAAGAATACTACAATTACTTTTACCAGAAGCAACACCAATATCTGGTTGATCGAATAACTCATCATCAATAAAGAATAAACCACCCTTTTCACGATAACCTGATAATGAAACACTACTATATTTATTAGTGTATCTTCTGTTATTATTATGATTGTACACTGGTTTCGATTTGATCTTTTCTTTAAAATATTCACCATAATTTTTACTTAAAATGGTGGATTTATGCATATTTCTTAAAGATAATGCGTCAACGTTATTATTATTATTGTCAGTATTACAAGTAGTAACAGGCCTATTAGTAGTATCAATTTTCTTGGTTGAAGACATAATTGTTGACGATGAAGAGATCGGTGAGCTTTTTTCTAATAAATGTCGTCGATAAGTCGGTAAAGGTGTAGAAGTTGGAGATGAAGTGGAAGAAGAAAATTCTGAATGAAATATTTCTGTTCCTTTCATCACTGATTGATTATCATATTTTTTTAATCGTTCCACTAATCCAGCAATTTGTTCTTCTAACATAGCTATTGTATTTGATAATCTAATTTAGAAAAAAATCGACGTAAAAAGAATATTTGAAATGAATTAGATGAAATAAATATGAACTCGGAGACAATAAATAGATACTTAATTGTTCCTCGAAAAATAAATCAAACTGATATCTGGATGCACTAGTTTTTATGCATAATTTACAACAGTTATTTATATGTGCAGTAAACTGAGTAGTACTAGACATAAATTGATTACAAACTTAATGTATGTACACATACAACGTTTATGAGGAACAGATATAACTAACAGACAAGATTACTCTTTTTCATGATGTAACTATATGGTCACAGACGAGTAAAAAAACCAGTGTTGTATGTCACTCGTTATCCATAATCGATTAATTACCTGATCAACATATTAATGACTTATTGAATTGTTATTTATTTTAAACAGTCAATATACACTGACAGTACATCGGTGCTTGGAACAATAAATGGTACTAGTGTGAAACATTATAATAAGTAGGGTATATATATATATATATAACCTTCAGTCGTTCATTAGCATCTTTTGGTGTGTTCTCCAATCTGAAATATCTTATCGTCTGGGCTCTAAGTGTTCTGCCAACACAGTGCTTTCGATGCACTGAAACTCTTCACTCTGTCCGATAATTGTTGCAACTTCGACATCACATTCCGCTACACACAACTTACAAACATCCTTGTGAGCAGTGTCCACAACACTAGGTTTGAGTCTCAAAGTGAATATCAACACTGTAATCCATATACAACTAACTGATAAATTTAAGATAAAGTGATATACCCATTACGGATTCCTTTGCTGATCTCAATCCAAAAATGTATTAGAGATACGACTGCATAAAATATAGAGGTATTTGCTTAAGTAGTATCACTGAAAGCTGATGCAATTCATTCATGATTATAACAACCAGGAAGACCGCTAATAAAACTGCTAATAATAATAATTATTACTAATATAGTCATCAAAAACCAAGTTATACCTTCAAGCAGAGTAGAATGGTGGCTCGCAGTGGAATCCTAGATGCGTGTATTGTTCTATTTTGAACTCGCCAGCTGAATGTACATGTATCCGTTTTGGTGTTCACAAGGGTGCTTGAAGCCCACCGCGTTGTCTCCTTAGCTACTGAATTCAGATAGTGACTAGCTTGTGCAGCGGGGTGAATACTAATTCTTTTTCATCGGTTGCTTGAATCTTATCGTTGATGGTATGAACTACAATTGATCGATCCCTTCTAGCATGTGTGGATCCTGAGAGGAGTGCCTCGATATTGGTGTCAAGTCAAAAGTACTTGAGCAGAACTAGATAATGGCTAGCAGTGGAATGCATGGGATTTAATGGTAATATCAAGACAACCCTCATATAATGCACATATGCCAAAAGAGACTGATCAATCGAAGTTCATAACATTAACAGTAAGTTTCAAGCAACTAATACAAATGAACAAGTTGCAGATATTTGAATGATGAATCAAATACATAAATTACCATTTAGTGTGTATTAATCCATCAAAATATGGTTAAACAGTTGTTAAGTGAACTAATTTATCAAATACTTAACTAGTTGTGTTCGCTGTTATAGCAAGTACCATACCAATGTTTTATGAAGTTGCAACATCAAAATATATCTTATAATTTTTTATAAAATTATTCTAAAACATAATAAAAATGAACTCGATCAATACAGAACAAAAGTGCACTTGCTTCCTGTTGTGATAGTTTGCAATTGGGTACAAGAAAAAAATAAGGATGAATTTATTTATCGCGTTTTTAAAGTTCAATAATTGTGAAGTATTCAGCGATTCTGAGTAATTTCTCATTCAGTTAGTGGATAAAAATGTGCAATTTCCATTGAGGATTTCATTACATTTGTCATTTTCACTCACCTTATGTGGGTGCACGAAACTGATGTATTGGTAACAGACAGTTTAAATGTTTAAGAGGAAATCTTCACTGAAAATTGCATCACTTTATGTAGTACTCACCCATCAAATGAATTGAAAATTGTCCAAAAACCCTGGATGTCGCACACTTATTGAATATTCAAAACATTACAAATTTACTTCAAGCGGAATGAAATTTTTCAGACTCAGATAAGACGATACACTGGATATTTTGATGTAGGTTTATTCTCTGAGCTGGATGGTTTGGTCGTGGGGCTTTCATCGTCCTTCTGAGTGACATCATCAGCACACTGGATATAATTGGTTACTGCTAAGAGGACAGGATCATGACTATTGAATTCACATCGATTGGAATGGATGTCGGGCGTATAACCTTGTTGCTCAAACCTAACTGCTCAAGAAATTAAGCCATCACTTGATTGTTCGAATAAAAACTTTATCCAAACTCCTTGTTTTAGCTGCTCCTGTGTACTCCCTAACACAAACGTTTGTTTATTCATGAATACTTTAAAAGATTACTACAGAAGGGCATTAATCGATCTTTGACTTATTTAAAGATTTAGTTCTATATTCTGAAAACATTTGTGTTGCAGAGAAGGTTCATTTTAGGGCCGCTTTTAAATTTTTACCAATTCTACCTGAAAACTGATCTCTTTTAAATGCAAAAGAGGTGAAAACAGGTTTTTATTACCGGGCGAAATTTAGGACATTTTCTCATTTTGTGTTTAGGTCTAGATAGTTGAATTGATCATTAGACTCAGATTACATTGTAAAGTTAATGTTTCCATGTGTTTTGCTGAGCTGGCAAAGCAATCAAGAAGTATGCACATATTCTTGAAAACAACAAATACATCGTCCACACATATTTGTATAATGTTATGTCCCCTATTACACGTCTCAGTTTCGTCTATTAAATATTAGTCATAAACATGGGTAGAATAGACTTAACTGGTAACCCTATCCACTAATTCATCTGTATAACGGGTTATTAAATTCGAATTAAATACCCTATAGTCTAGAGAAACAGTGATTTTCCAAATTCATATGGGTCTGAAGGAAGAAAATCGAAATGCTAGAGTATTATATTTATGGTTTTTCTATTGGTACGCTGACTAATATTAAACAAATGTCCAGTGATTTCATAAGTATATCTGATTGATCCATATGGTCCAGTTCTTTTGAAATTTGAAACGTGTCTTTAAATAAATGAATTGCTATTTTTCTACACATTTATTCCAATAATTTCGTTAACCATCTGGTTAAATTGTGATACGGTGAACTTATCATTAACTGATCTATAAATTACACGTTTCATAACGAACTTTACCGCATCAGACATCTTGCATTAGTTTATATTTGTGTCATTTCATTGATTGTTTATGATTGACCTGTCATCATAGTCAAGGATCTAAATCTTAATCTAATGGTTAGAATCTCAGAAACAGCTTTCCTACACAATATATTTTGCATACTGCCTAGGCTACAAAGATATATAAAGGTATACTTCTTATATCATTATTCATTACTTACCGTTGAATCTTTCTCTGATCTTCAGAAATTTTACGCATCAATTGACGATTACTGTTATCCAATTCTTGATTATATCTATCAGCCTCATCAACAAATTCCATTTTACGTTGACTTAACTCACGAAGATTAGTAATTTCTTTTATAAGAAACTATTTAAGGAAAATAGAAAATAAAAATACAGAAGGAAAAATTACTTTTCTAAGAAAATGAACTATAACTTATCAGTGGATCTCTATCATAAAAAATAACCAATTAAGAAATCAAATCACATATTCTTGGTTGTCGATTGATTTTTACTTTCAACTGAATAGTTACTCATCCTGGAACCACCAAAGACAGGGAAGTGTAATAAAATGTATCCAAATAAAGGCAACAAGAAATATTCATAAACAAACAAAGAGCATTAAGTTACAGTTACTACATCTTGTTATTTAATTTGGGACATAAGGCTAGAAATATTGAGCGCTGCTTATGTGCATTAGAATGTGAACTCAAGAATTTTGAACTATTAGAGCATAACACAGTGAGCTTACTTAGAAAGATGAAGATGAAATGATCCTGACAACAGTGGGTTTAGGAGTAAGTGATTAGGGTAGACGAAAGTGAGTTTGAGAACTTATAAATATGGTTATTTACTAAATAAATCAGTATAACTTGAGTATCATTAGTGAAATACTGTTCTATATTATATCGCTTTCGTCTGTTTTACATTCTCAGTTATTACTTTATATATGTTTACTCCATTTTAGATTGTAAATTACATTTTTCAAACTAATGTGTCTAATCATTACACTTTTAAGAACAGATACTACACGCTTGAGAATTTAGGGACTTACTCTAACCCTTATCTTCGTAGATAATATAGTGACCCATAAAAAATCTTGATTCGCCTACCTACAATCAACTGAACAACTCATCTGAATTCCGGATATAGCTTCAATATAATAACACAAAATCAGTTTATTTTATCTTGTTTGGATTCATATACAAGGACTAATGACATTCATGAGCAGTAAACCGATAATATGCCACTGCTATTAAAGATCTCAGAATAAAATAATTGGAGAAGTGGATTATACAAACAAGAACGCATGAATTAATAATACTGTTAAAATACATAACATAAAAAGAAATCTAATGTTCAATTATCCCTCGAATAGAAAGTGTCAATGTTGAATCATAGTGGTCCCGTATCTATAATTCTGTTATCAGTATGTCAATTAACAACAAACAATAATTAAATAACTACGAACATAATAACAATTTGAATGTTATACTGACAATATTGTCTAGAAAGAGTGTAAACTTCATAAGTAAATTAACCAGCTCAGAGAATGAAACATAAAAAGCGACACTGTTATAGATATAGATTTTCTGAACGTATTTCTAGCTATTAAGATGTATAGGTTCAAGGCTAGTCGATAGATGAAATGCGATATGGTCGAATAATAGCTGTTCTTGAGACAGAATTATTGATTAAAATCTAACATTGAAATGATATCAAAGACAAGATCACCAGTTAGAAGGATTGGTTTACCAATCAATCGTTATAATCCACTAATTTTTAGAGCCAAAGATTATAGTAAAAAAAATGTATTCGATTGTGGGGACTAAACCTTACTGTGGTTGAAAAACTTGAAAGAGAACATTTTTATACTAAATCTTCTGGTCGATAGAATATACTTAATGATTCCATAAATCAACTGCGTGAGATTATAAACTAGGAAATAAAAACGAAGACTTATATACACATATTCCATAATTAGCAAATTAGATTTAAAAAATGATAGATAAGTACATGACGAAAGAAAATGAATATTTTGTTCAAGGTTATCATATAATAGGGATTTAAAAAATGCAAGGTCACCTTGATGTTGGGTGGTTGAAAGTAATCAGGAGGGAATATTCCAATTAAACTCTGAGTGAGTTGGTACACGTGTGAGAAGAATATCTGAAATCTCCAGAAAAATGATGCTTCCTGGGAGGTTCACACCCTGGCTACCTAATCCCATATTCTGAAGCCTTAGCATCAGTCGGGCCGGATCGTGACTGACTATTTTTAAGACGAAAGTATTTGCCTTGATTGATTACTAAAACCCAACGGCTATTTTCATGTTTATCTGATCCTCAATGTTAACAATAATACATAAGCTAATCCAGTACAAATTCTCACGTGACTTTTTCGATAAACAAACAGTTTAGTGAATCACAGTCTGTAAACTACTGGCTATAACTCAAAGGCCATAATTTATACTTAATTCATTGAATATTTAACAACTGATTAAATGAGTAATTTGTATTTATTAGATATCACACTAGACTATGATAAGACGTTAAACAGTTTCGGAACATTAGTTATTCAACAGTCTGTCCACGGTAAGTGGTATGAGAGTTAGTTAGTTAAATAGAATATCATTTTGACAGTTGAAAATAATTTATTTGACCTTAATATACATCAAAGAAAATAATTCACAAACTTATGAAATGATAAGAATGACAAGGCAAATCATAATTTCTTGCAACACTATTTCAACTCTACTTACTTATAAAAAAAGAAGTATAATTCTGGCTGCCAATGTATATAGGTATCAGTTTACAAACACGTTTAACTAATTTATATTTAACTAATTAACCTATTTAAGAACAAACCATTTAAACAAAAAATCATCTATCAATAAAAATATCGTTGATGCATATCATTTGTATTATCAGTACAGGGTTGTAGAGGTTGTTGAGTGTTGGCTGAGATCATGAAACGATCAATGTTAGACCACAGCTAAAAACCTGAAATCACTGAACGGCAGTCTCGCCCTAATATCGAACTCCTCAGAAGTGAGCATCCACGATTCCGCAAGCCCAACTCGAAGCCAGGACCTTCAGTATCGCGCTCAAAAGCTTCACCTTCAGACCAATGAGCCGGTAACCAACGATTTTATTGTCTAACTTTAACCAATCCACGATATTGCGTGACTGCCTTCCATTGTCTTCGGTGGCTAACTGCCTCACACTCGATATTGATTAGCTCCACTGATCACGGCTTCCAACTATAACTCTAAGAATTTCCTCCTGGGGCTAGTTATTAGTGATCACATGATAATTAATAGTACAGGGTTGTGGAGATTGTTGAGTTTTGATTGAGTTCATGAATCGATGGTCGCGTAATATCGTGGGTCGGTTGAAGTTTGACATTAACACCGTCGGATACCGGCTCAGCGGTCTAGAGGTTAGGTGTTCATGCGCGAGACCGAAGGTCGTGGTTTCGAATCGGGCGTGCGGAATCGTAGATGCGCACCGCTGAGGAGTCCTATATTGGGACGATGCTGTGCTTGAAGAGGTTACGAGTTCACCTAATCTGCGGACGGAATGAAAACTCAGTGACATGATGACTAAATCAGCTAACTATTCCGATGCGTACCAGCCCCGCTAGCTAGATAAAGAAGTTCAAGTTCTGAAGAGATAAAATTTATTCCACAAGCAGCCAGAAACAAGAACAACAACAACAAACACGACTCAAGCGTATATATACAGTGTAAAAGTGTCTTTGGGAAGCGTTACAAAATAGCACACTAAAAGACACAACGAACCAATAGCGTGTAAGGTCCTCTCAAGTGCAAAATATAACATGGAAGTGAAAATAAATGCTTTTGGCGCGAAAACAAAAAGTTCAAATTTTTAAAATAGAATTATAAAAATAAGGTATTTCCCAAGTGAGTTCTGGGGATCTAACATACCCCAACAAACGAGACGGCCGTTCATTGATTCCAGGTTTTCAATGGTGATCTAACATTGATAGATTCATGATCTTAATTATTTTTATTAGTTTATTCGAAAGATCCCAACTCACTCTGAAACTCCTACAACAAAATATGTTAAAAAGTAGACGATTATTTGATATGTTTGTCTGCTTAGTTAATCAGTCGCAACTACAGCTTCAATAAAGAGAAACCATTTGCTTTTATGTTCTTCCTGTCCCTCGACTGTTAACTGGAATGTGAAGTTCAAGTCCATATTGAAGCAGCTCTGTTAGGAGATTCAAGAGGATTGAAGAATTAACAACCCAATTCAGCAATAGTATAGTTCATGCTAACAATTTTAAACCCTAAAATTAAAGATTGAAAATCCGCGATCCATGTAAGCATTATCAAGTTAGACAATTAATAGATACAAAATCAAAATATTTTGATCCATAAGTCTAAATATGAAAATTTTAAAGTAATAACAAGTGGGTGAGATCAATTTTGTCTTATTAAGAAGTGAAGTTAATCTTACTTACAAGAAGTTCTATAAATCCATTACCCAAAGTGAGAATATCACTTTCTAATGATTTTTTTAGATAACTAATTAGTTGGTTAAACACGCTAGTAATTCAAGAGATAGATTTCACAAAATAAGATAGTTGTAAACATATATTTCATGGAAAAATATTGACTGTACTAACATTTCAATCGACCTTATATTTATCAATTCAAGGGTGACTTACGTGTAATTTATATGGACAAATATCAATAACAACATGTGAAAACAATGAATGATATATATATAAACATACACATTGAATACTGAAGTACATTGTAACAAATTTTTGACAACATAAATTTTCAGATAAACACTAATAAATTAAAATGGAACCAAACGTTTTTTACATTCTCATGGAAGTAAATATCTGGTTAGGTATGTATTTAAATAGTAATGTTTGACAAAACAGTGAACAGTAAATTTCATTTCATACTAAATTAATATGTGAGAATTTGAAATTGTTAAAGTTCCAGAGTTTATATTCGGAAGGGGTTTTGTGGAGATTTCAGTATTTTTCATGGTTGAAATCATGAGTCAATTGAAGCTAGACTACCATGGAAAACCTGGAAGCACTGGACGGCCGTTTCGCACTATTGTGGGACTCCTCAGCAATGCGCATCCACAACTCCCTGAAGACAATTGGTGAACGGTTGTTCAAACTTCGTGCATTGGTTGAAGTTAGACATTAACACCGTTGGGTGCCGACAGGCTCAGTCGTCTATCTGTTAAGTGCTCTGGCGCGAGACTGGTAGATCCTTGGTTCGAATCTCGCGAGGCGGGATCGTGGATGCGTACTGCTGAGGAGTCTCATAATAGGACGAAAAGGCCTTCCAGTTTATATTCGATTGAATGT